GGGGTCTTTATGGGCTTGTTGGTGGGCTGTTTTTCTCTATTAACCTTCCATGAGCCTCTTATCCAATCAGGTTGTCATCTATCTATCACGTGGGAAAGGAAGGCTCCTTCCAGGACGGTGTAAAATCCTCTTAAGGGTGGTTTCCTCTTAGGGTGGAGGCCCCTTGTCCCTGCCTGCTTTTCTTCATCATTAGGTTCCTAACTGACCACTCAGAGCAAAAAAATGAAAGTGAACAAAACAAAACACGCCTTTCTTGGGTTATAGAATCTAGTTGTTTTCACGCATCTAGTATTACTTAGAATGACTTACACATAAGAAAATATATTCTTTAGTAAAATTTGTATTTCAAAATTATTTGTATGGGGGTGGATTCAGTGGTTCTGGTGTGTGACATAAAATCTATTACTTTATGTGGATCTCAGTAAAAAAGTTTAGAAGCTATTAGAGTAATAGTGAAAATCACAGAATTTGGAACCAGACAGTCTGGGTTCTATTATTAGCCCTGTTACTAGTGGTGTGACCTTGGTCAAGTTACTTAACCATTCTATACTTCATTTACCTCATCTATTAGTGGGAATAAAATAGCACCTACATTTTAAGGTTGTTTTGAGAATCAAATCCCTTAACACATGTGTATTGGTTGAAGTTCTAGAAAGAAAATAAAAACTAACCCAAGTAGAACAACAGAAGAATTTAAGATGGAGCACTGATTACAAAAGTGTTATAAGAGTTGAAGGCTTCAATAAACAAGATGGTAAGATAATGCAGAGATTAACAGAGAGAAGAAAATATCTCTCCTAGGGCTAAAGGACAAAGAGCAGCTGTGTTCCCTCAGGATCTGGAACTGCCTATCAGGAGTTGAGAACAAAAAGGGAGGAGCTCCCAGACAGAAACCTGGTCACATAGCTTTCATTATCAGTGGTTCTCAATCTTACCTGCACATTAGAATCATCTGGAGATTTTAAAAAGCTTTTCTAGACCATATCCATTTCAATTATATCAGAATCCTGGGCACTGGTAATGGAACCCTGGCATCAGTATTCTGAAAATGTCAATATCAAGTTTTAAGAGTGCTATACTAGGCTGTGAATTCTTTTAGGGCAGTGATGGAACCATTTAAAAACATCTTATTTGTATGGGCCTTAATACTTATAACAGTTTCTTGGGCATAGTAGACCCTCAAAAATATTGATTAAATAAAATAGAGGAAAAAATCCTACATCTACTCAAGTGTAAAATTTCGGCCTACTTTTAGAATTGAATTATAAAAGGATGAGCATGCTAATATCACTAACTTAAATTAATATTTTTCAGTCCCTTTAGAAATAGATAAATGTGGATAACACTGAAAAAATGGTAATCAAATAGGCGGGCTACCAACTAATTACATTCACTGATTAAGCTTAGAAAAATTCTCATTCTTTTAGCAATATAAATCTAGATCAGCTGTTACACTTTTATTAGAAGCTGTGCATAGACTATATATACTGATATATTAAGAGGTCCACTCAAATGATTTACAAGTGATTTGCTGTCCAGAAATCACTGGTTTAATATGATCTATTATGGCATGTGGTATCTAAATATTCTGGATTTGTCATGATTTAAATCAAACTTGGTTGAGTTCAAGTTTTCCAGAAAATTGACAACAAAGTAAACCTCATAGACATTTAGTGATGGGTTTGCTAGTTAACTCTCTCTATAATTAACTATAACTATAAGCACTTATTTTAGAGAAATGTCTTGATTAAGCCAAGTATATGAGTTTGCTAGTTTTTCATTAAAAAATTTACCTGAAAATTTATCTACTGGGTTCTTAACCATCTAGGATAATAATTGTTATTCAATAAAATATTGGGACAAAAATAAAGAAAAAATTTAATAAACAATCCCAGTCTAAGGACTTTAATGGTTAAATAAAAAAGACCATTGAAAAAAAGCCCATTTCAAAATAAATGCTTTAAACCAGAGAGAAAAGTAATAATAATAACCAACTCTGAATTCATGATTAAAGCCAATAATATTTAGCCCATTGATTAGATACATGAAAAGAAAAACTATAAATTATAGCCATGCCAGTTAAACCCTATTAATATTACAGAAACTCCCATCATTCTTTACTGAGGAGCTAAAGAAGAGAAGATATCAAAGAACAAAGAACAAACAAATCCAAGTGTTTGATTGATATTAAAAAAAATGATAAACCCCAACCAAATGCTATCATTTAAAGGGAAGAATTTTATTTTCAATCTGCATAAAAGTGAAAAAATACATATTTGAATGATAAGTAATGCTGTTATGGTAAATGTTGTTATAGTAATTAAAAATGCAGCAGATTTCCTAAGTAGGCCACCTGGAGATATGAGAAGTTTGAATTATAACTGAAGATATATCAAACGGCATGTATTATTTCTATATTAAACTAGTAAAAAGTAAATGAAAAAAATCATTATTCTAAGAGCATCTGGCTAAGCAGAGCATAAAGACAGGCTATCAGCCAATTTCATAATTAAGGTGTTTTCTTTGACTTTTTTTAAGACACATGCAGCATAATTTCATTAGAAAGGAATATAATTAAGAAGTTTTTCAGGGAATAATGACAAATTTCAAATTCTGATTTTGGCAACATTAGGAAACAGAATCATTTTGGTATAAAAAATCACTGAGATATTAACTCTAGAACTCCTGATAAGATGATCTATTTATAAGATTTTTGATTATCTAATTGTGATATGCTACCTATGTATTCAGAGCACTGGGTTTTTGTCTCTTCAACTGATTTCTCTTCTTGAGTTCTTAGGCAAGACCCATATTTTCCTTTGCTACCATTTCCTTTACTGAAGTCAGAAAATACATTTTGATTAAAGGGCTATATGTATCTGTCTCCTGCTCTTATACTCAGTTTTTGGATCATTCACTTTGATTGGTTTCCCTGCCATGATATTTTATTCTCTCTTTTTTTTAATGATAACTATCAGTACTTTCCCCTTCTTCCTGGGTATCATTTTGTTCTTGCCTTTCTGTTGCACTCTTTCTTGGCTCAGAATAAATTCTCATACCCTGAGGTATAATAAACATACACTATTACATTAGTTTCAGGTGTACCATATAATGATTCAATAATTCTGTACATTACTTAGTGCTTACCATGATAAATGTAGTCACCATCTGCCACCAAACAACATTGTTATAATCTTGTTTTACAATCATGATTTATTTGTTTTGTAACTGAAAGTTTGTATCTTTCAATCCCCTTAGGTGTTTCACCCATCTCTTTACCCAGCTCTCTCTGACAGCCCGCAGTTTCTTCACTGTATGTAAGAGTCTGCATTTTTTTCTTTGTGTGTTTGTTTAATTTCTTAAACTACGCATTTGAGTGAAATCATATGGTATTTGTCTTTTTCTGACTTATTTCACTTAGCATTACACCCTCTAGGTACATCCATGTTGTTGCAAATAGCAAGATCTCATTATTTTTCATGGCTGAGTAATATTCCCTTATAGATATGTATATACCACATTTTTTTATCCATTCATCTGTTGATAGACACTGGGTTGCTTCCATATTTGGGGTATTATAAATAATGTTTCAAAAACATAGGGGTACATTGGGCCAATATCTCTGATGAGCATAGATGCAAAAATCCTCAACAAAATATTAGTAAACCAAATTCAACAATACATTAAAAAAATCATCCACCAACCATCAAGTGGTATTTATTCCAGGGATGCAAATGTGGTTCAAGATTTGCATGTCAGTCAACGTGATACATCACATTGATAAGAGAAAGGGTAAAAACCATATGATCATCTCAACAGATCCAGAGAATGCATTTGACAAAGTATAGCATCCATCCATGATAAAAACTCTCAACAAAGTAGGTTTAGAGGGAATACACCTCAATATAATAAAGGCCATATATGAAAAACTCACATCATATTCAATGGTGAAAAACTGAGAGCTTTTCCTCTAAAGTCAGGAACAAGACAATGATGTCTACTCTCAGCACTTTTATTCAACATAGTACTAAAAAGTCCTAACTGTAGCAATCAGACAGGAAAAAGAAATAAAATGTATCCAAATTGATGGGGAAGAAGAAAAACTGTCACTATTTGCAAATGGCCTGATACTATATACAGAAAACCCTAAGGACTCCCTCAAAAAACTACTAGAACTGATAAATGACTTCAGTAAAGTCACAAGATACAAAATTAATACACAGAAATTTCATATGCTTTAAAAATGCCCTTCCAGATGTTTGTAGTAAGGATCCCATCAGCCTCTCCTGCTGGCATCCATATCCAATATTTAACAAATTTAGGACAAGCTCCAGATCCCTAACTGCTTGATTCTCTCTATGTGTTACTTCCCAGTAACATCCCTAACAATTTCATACTTTTTAATGGCAGTTGGGAAAGTTAGTCTGCTACCAATTAAAAAAGTGGCATGGAAAGGCAAGATTTACATTAACCCTCATTTGATCACAATTTGAAAATATTTGTGTATATACATGCACACACACATATACATGAATGTGTGTATGTATATTTCAAACCATAATGGTTGTCAATTATTTATTAAACATTTATATTTCAAAAATGTGTCATGCCATTGAAAGTACAAAAAATATGTAGACCCAGTGCCTGACTACAAGCAGCTAAGATTCCAGTAGGAATTCTAATAAATATAGGAAATAGAGAATGCATATGTACATCCTACTTATTAACTAGATTGTAAAATAAAATGTACAAAAAGTTCAGGGCATATATTGATCAAATTGACATATTTTCAGAGAGAGATTATGTCATGGAAGAATTTAACAATTTATTAAACAAGGACAAAGACTATTAAATCTCAAATAAAGCATAAAGATGATTAAATGAGACATCTAAATCTTTAGAATAAAAGGGTAATTTATATTAATAATGGTTATTTTGAATTGAAACACTGAATTTTTAAGTGTGTTTCTCTTCTAATTTATTTTGTGACTTCTCATTCAAATCTGTATTGTATTAAAAATGAATCCTGTGCATAGCATATGTTATATTTCCCAATTAGCCAGAATATTTGTTTTCAATTAGCAATAATCGCGCCTCGGATAAACCTCATTGGCTATGATACTGCCACTGCGCAAAGCTAGCCAGAATATTTGAATAAATAAACTATCCTATTCTCCAATAAGAATAATGGTTTTAATTAATTGAGGATGCTGTTCTAGGCTATAGGTTTATATAATCTCATATAACCCACATTTGACTTGAGAGGAAGCTAAAGGCAAGGTTAACCTACTTCTTCAAGGGCACATGGGTCATAAGCATCAGCTAATATCCTACTTTAAACAGCTAAATTTTCTACTCTTGGTATGACACAGAATTAATTACTAGAGAGACTTATATACCTTTGAAATAAGGATAACCTTGTTCATTCTCTTCTCATTATGCTTAGCGTTTTGTCCCAATTTACACAAACTTTTATTTAGTTACTCTAGGTCTTCTTTAAAAGGTAATCTGTCTTTTTTACACAACTGTCCTGCCAATATTTCTAATATTTCTAACTACTTTGAGCTAACACTAAGCTTTTCTTACTGAATGCTATATTTATAAGTACATAACCCAGTCCTATTAATGTCAGGATTTTCTGACAAAGACATACCTCCATTAACCCTGCCCCTTCAATCAATTTTTTCTTTTCTCCTAAAGTGGCATTTCCTGCTCTAGTGACCCAGAACCTCTTATATCACAATTTAAAACCAGTGCCAAATATGACCTAAGAATAGCAGGATAATTTCAAATAGTTTTTAACCATAAATATGCAAGATAAAAAAAATCTATTATTAAATATTAGTAATTTTGTTGTACATTGTCTTTTTTGCTGGATAATCTGGGTATGTATTTCAAGAAAACTTTGAGTTTATATGTTTCAATACCACGAAAAGATCTTGGAATCATTGTAGAAAATTCTTTCAATGAAATGTAAATTTACCTACTTATTGTCTTTCCAAAGATCAACATCAAATGTCTCTTTCATCTTAACATATAGACCTTTCTCCATATTTAATAGCTTTTTCAGATAGAATGTTAAAATTTATTTTTAACAGCATCTTCCTAAAAATTAATGTATTTTGGAACGAACCATCAAAATCAGAGATAACACACCTAACTGCCAAAGTCATTCAATCCAACAATAGCACACACTCTGCAGCAGACATTAATCTACCTTCAGGAACAGAGTTAACATTTGTAGATGCTCACACTAGGAACCACAACTATCAAGGTTTCCTAGAATTGGCCTTGCCTTATTGAACATTCTTACTTAATGTTGAGAAAGCTACAGTGGCTACTTTGGACTTTGTAAAATTACATTTTCACAAGTTGCTTTCACATGAACATAGACAAAAACATACAAATGATAAAATATTATTCATGCTTACATTTCATACATGTGTTTTTTCTATTAAATTAGGTTTGCTCATGGAACACTACATCAAAAACTAATGATGTAATGTATGGTGATTAACATAACAATAAAAATTATTAAAAAATAAATAAATTAGGTTTGCAATATAAACAAAATGTTGAACTTTGGTCTTTATATTTTCTAAACGTGTCCCAAATATAGTGATGAATTGTACAACGAAGCACTGCACTGATTTCTCTTGGTAAAAGTTGTCTATCTAATTTATTTTTTTCTCCAAAAGAGTAAATTTGTCAAAATATATTGTCAAAATACCTTGTACTTAAAAATAGGACTTTCTGCAGGTCGGGGGAGATTATAAAAGGCTGTATTATGAACTTAACCTTAAAATATAGAAGTGGATATTGAGGAATAACGTAAGAAGCAGGTCAATTTCTCATGGTGATGATGACAATTGAGAAGTGCAGATGACAATAACAGGAAATTATTAAGAAAATCCTCCATACATGTGAGAAGAATCATTGTACAACAGGGTGTCATGGAGACCCATTCATTGAGTGAACGAAAGTATTTTGACCATAACAATTTGATAATTGAATAATTGATTAGAAACTAATTTTCAAATGAAGATCATTTGATTTCCTTAATTAGTGGACATTTTGTCCCTGCTTATGGCACATTTTAATCCAGTAGAAATAGCTATTGCTTTCAAATCTAAAAAAAAAACCCCAAAAAAACAAAAAAACCCCCCAAAAACCAAAAAACACACACACACAGAAGTTAGTTTATAATCATTTTCCTCATCTGGATTTTTTCTTGTATTAGGCATTTGTTGAGATTTAAAATCAGAGTTAATCTCAATTTAAATAAAAATAGGTGGCTTTATTTGTAATCATTTTTTAAAACTCCCATGTTATTAAGGGGGAGGGACTTTTACATATGCTTAAACCTGCTAAATCCCAACCATGGTTCTTAAAGAAAATGGGTTTGTTATTGAGTGCCTATTTTTCTTGATACGTTTTTTTTCTTTCTAAAATTCAGAAACTGTAAGCACTCAGTAGTTAGGACATCTCTAAGTATACAATGAACTGTATACACATAAATTATCTCAATTATTCTCTAAACAAGTCCATTACTTCAGAGATGTATAAATCAAGTCCTATGAAAGGCTGCTAACTTTCCCAAGGTCACACAGCACGTTCAACTTTGAGCCCAATTTCCAACCCAAGTTACCTTATTTGAGGGCTTTCAGGTTCATCTCTGAATGAGACTGCTCTGATGGTCAAGGTTTTTTCAGTTCTATTCCTGTGGTACATCCCTTTTCATGGTTCTAATCATGACTGGCTATTAAGCTGAGTTTCTGTATTTAACATCCACCTTGGGTGTAAAACAAAGGTAGCAATTTTGATAATGAACCCGAAAAAATTATGAACAATCAGCCTTTTTTATATATAGACATCTATAAGAGCACCTTTTAAAACTTACTGATAAAAATAGCTCCTCTTCTAAAACAATTACCTGATGAAGCAATCTTCAGCAAATTAGTATATAAAAAAATCTGTTATCCGATTACTTTCTGTAATCAGATCCCCTTGACTCACCTGCTACTCCTCTGCATTCAAGTCTTAATTCCCTTTCGCCATTCTGGGTACTTAGAGTTGGTGTTCTAGCAGGCAGGAGTTGAGAGAGGAAGCGATGGCTGTAATTTCTGTAATTTCAACATGAAGTCATTTCATTTACTCAGTGTTCTGTGGCCATATAATCTTACCCTTTAATTTGCCTCATATAATGACAAGTTCTACTTTATTTAATTTATTTATTTGTTAAGATTTTATTTATTTATTTGACAGAGAGAGAAATAGCGAGAAAGGGAACACAAGCAGGGGGAGCGGAGGAAGGAGAAGCAGGCTTCCCGCGGAGCAGGGAGCCTGATGTGGGGCTCCACCCCAGGACCCTGGGATCATGACCTGAGCTGAAGGCAGATTGCTTGACGACTGAGCCACCCAGGTGCCCTAACAAGTTCTACTTTAAAGGGAGGGATTTTCTTTTTTCAAATAGGTGTAAAGATAAGTAGTATGTGAAACAACTAAAGGAAGTCCTTTGAGAGAGAGATCGAAGGAGAGGGGAATTATAGGTTGGTCTAGAGTGAAAAGAGCAAGCAGAAGATTCACATATAGTGTTACTAAGATAAACCATAGTGTATCATGTGTTCATAACAGAAAATTTAATCTTTATGCATGTAGTGAGAATTAATATTCTGGCCTTGGTAATTTAAAATGGACACAATACCCAAATAATGAAAAAAAGAGGAGAGACTACTGTGATTAAAATGGGAAGTGAACAGGAAGTCTATGTATTGGAATGGAATTTAAAATAGTTAAGCCTGGATTCTGAGCCACTCAGCAACCAGTAAGCAAGGGGGTGGGGAGAGGTTAAATTTCCTTTAACTCCATCCTTAGGCCAAAGCTGGTCCACAGCCTGCTTTTGTACTCTCTAGGAATCAAATTATTTTTGCATTTTAAAATGTGTCAAAAAAAATCAAAAGAAAAATATTTTTGACACAGGAAAATTACAAGAAATTCAAATTTTAGTGTTCATAAGTAAAATTTTCAATTTTGACAATATAAAATATGTGGAAATGTGTTTTCTCCCTTGTTATATAAATACTTATGTAATATCCTTCATTTTATCACTTGGTTAGTGAAGTTTAAAATATTTCCTAATTGGCCGTTTACAGAAAATGTTTTCTAGCCTCTGGCTCAACTGAATCAGACCCACCCTAAAACTGGATACAATTCCTGAAACTGCAGTCACTAGCCAATTGGAGTTGTAGATAGAATAGATTAAGGAAAGTTACCCATTATGCTTCTTATTCAGAACTTTCACTGGGACAGATGGTACAAGAAAATAATATATATATGAATTAACTTTATAATTTATTATTTGTAATATGTTATATGAATTTTATATATCCATATTATAATAGTCATTACTTTTGACCTGCATTATAAAAAAGTTGGACCTATTTTTTTCATTCAATAATATAAAGAAAAAATACTTTGGGGAGGATAGTATATTATATCATCACAATGAGATTCGATCCTATATCAATTTATGATTGACATCAATTCTGACTGCTATCAATTTTAATTTTAAGTTGTCAGGTTTCATTGTTGATAATCAGTAAACAATTGTGAAAGCTTTATTAATTTGTGGGGCTTTTTTCCCTTTTCCCCACATATTTTCTTCAAAATGAACACCTTTGGGAGGAGAAAAATATACATTGCAGGAATTAATAATTGAGTAATTTTTCTGTAACAGCCTTTCAGCAATCAAACACAATCTCTAGATTACATTTTTTGAGGCTAGAGAGCAAATCAAAAATGATGAGAACTGTTTTTTAATTGGTTTTTACAAATTTAAACAAAATAGGCACTCTGCAGTATGTTTAGATTATAAGCTGGAGAAAACAGGGATTTAAAATATAAGCAATACATTTAGAAAGAGAAAGAAGGAAGCATGATTCAAATATATTTAACTTAAAGCTGACTTTCCGAATTGCAGCTAAACATCCACTGTTTAGCCACAAAGACAAGGCTGTATCATTGAAGGAAAATTTGACTGCACTAGGCACCAGATAAGATGTCCCTTGATAACCCTACCTAAGCAGCATATCTGAGATTTTCATTACTTACACATATACATTTAAAAAATAACTATTACT